TGCACTTGGCCTTTGTCCCACCGTTGGCCTTAAAGCTTTTCAACAGCAAGTCATTCTTTCTCAACTCCGAATTTCTGTATCTCCCAAAGTACCTAATGTAGGTTGGTTACTGTTCATGGAATCCTGCTGAGTCCACAGGAGGTGCCGATCCAGAAGTGCCAAAAGAACCCTTCTGAGCGTGCGCCTCATCTTCCTCTCCAAGGCCCCAGAGGAAGCGGGTGGGTCAGGTTATATAACTCTGGAGTCCGGTGGCCCATAACTACTTGGAACTTCTCAGTCTTTCAGAGAACAGGTTTCTCTGACAATTATCCGGAATGGTCTAGAGCAATGATGGCAAACGTTATAGAGCTTTCAGTGATACAAACAGCCCGCTGAGGCACGCATGCCATAGGTTCACCGCCACTGGGACAGTTCGAGCACATGTGCATGCATGCATGTCCCAGTAGTAGGGGTTGAACCTAGGGAGTTTGCACCGAGTTACATCCTCAGCCCTTGAGGTAGGGTTTTGCTAAGTCACTAAGTTGCCCAGGCTGCATTCAAACTTGCAGTCTTCCTGCCTCGGCCTCCCAGAGTGCTGGGACTATATGTATGCACAACCACACTTAGATCCTGTTTTTGATCATGTTCTTAAAAGCAGGTCTCAGCCAGACGTGGTGGCACATGCCTGTAATCCCAGCACTCGGGAGGCTGAGGCAGGAGGATCCTTGCGAGTTCGAGACCAACAAGGCCAACCTGAACTGCATAGTGAGACCGTGTCTCAAAAAGACAAAAAAAAAAAAAAAAAAAAAAGAGCAGGTCTCGGCCTCATTTCTTACTCTTTGCTAACCAAGTGAAATTACTTTTTAATGCAGTGCTATCCAGTGGTACCTGCAGATCGTGGGAGTGCAGGCTGCTTCTGACTGCAGCGTAGTGGGATTTGGATTGTAGGTATTGAAAATAAAGATGACACAAAGGTTGAGGACCCCGCTGCCTAATGTTTGCCTGCTCTGCTGTAAAGATGACTGCCTGCTTTGGCTGGGATGCCTGCACAGGCATGTGGGCCCCTGCAGGGGAGGAGTGGTGAGGGTCGGGAGCTGTCACATTGCAGCCTGAGGCCAGTCCCGCTCTCCCCTAGGGCAGCTGTCCTTTTGAAAGACTTCGATGTCTTACATAAATACTCCATGTTTTTAACTCCTAGATTATTGCAAGCCTATACAACTTTTTATTTCAAATAAATTTGCCAAGTTTTGATCTTTCACATTTCTATCATGTTTATGAGAGTTTTCTAAAGTCAACGGAGTTCGCTGAGTTGTAATGAGAAGATGAATATAAATTGTATATCTTTTGGGGGTGGTTACAAGGAATCGAACTCAGGACCTCACACTTGCCAGGCATAAATTGTATATCTTAAGTGTTCCCTGGTAAGCCATTCCAAGATAAACTCACTGCCTTTTGGGGTAAACTTGTCAGGGGTTATCAGAGAAAACAGACAGATATCACAGCTAAGTTTCAGCAAGGCGTCTGATGAAGTCTATCCTGATGGGGTTTTTGTTTTGATTTGGTTTGGTTTGATTTTTGTTTCTTGCACTACTGAGGATTGAACCCAAAACCTTTGCCCCAAGCTGCATCCCCAGCCCTTTTCTGAGACAGGGTCTCCCTAAGTTGCTTGGGCTAAGCTAGAACTTGTGATCCGCCTGCCTCAGCCTCCCAAAATGCTGGGATTACAGGCATGTGCCACAACGACTGTCTTTCCTGATGTTGAAGATGAAACTATGGACAAAATGGTGCCATGAGGAGGACTTTGTAACTGGAGAGTATCTAGGAGCAAAGGAGCCTGGCTGGTGAACCGCTGAGAGCAGTGCGTGGAGCCGGCGGACACTGTCCTCCACCCGGCCGGTGAACATTGCTACTAATCAATTGCTACGCTGACGTTCACCGACTTCCACCACACACTGAGTGTGCCCTGTGGCAACCTGAGTGCCCCTCCCAGTCAGCTGCCCCTGCCCCCGACCACCAGTTGTATCTCCTCCACGCTTCTTAAGCCCTCCTTCCCCCATCTGATCTCAGCCCATTTCCTGCTGTTACAGTGCCGTAAACCAGCGAGTTATCAGCAACCTAAGTCTGTTCAGCTTACGGTCGAGGCTGGAAGTCGAAGCGAAGGGGCCGTGTCTGGTTAGGGTTTCTGTGTCTCAGCCTGTCGGGAGGGCAAGGCACACGCACAGGACGGGGGTGGGCAAGAGTGGGTCAGATTCATGACAGACCCCCTCACAGTGACGGACCTTAGCAGCAGCAACAGCATTAATATGTTCTGGAGCTCAGAGCCCTGTGGCCTCATCACCTCTTAAAATCTAACCTTTGGGGGGGGTGGCTAGGAATTAAACCTGGGGCTCTGCCCCTGAGCCATATCTCTAGCCCAGTTTCCTTTTCATTATTTTCATTTTGAGACAGTTTTCTGAGTTGCTGCCCAGGCTGGCCTTGAACTCACAGTCCTCCACCCTCAGCCTCCCAAGTAGCTGGATTATAGGCAGCACCACTGCTCCCAGCCCACCTCTTAATACCGGTACAGCGGCAATTACATTTCCTCTTGAGGTTGTGGGGAGGGGGACATTCAAACTGTGGCACCTTCTTTTTTGTTTGTTTGTTTGTTTTTCTTCTGGTACCAGGAAATGAACTCACGACCTTGCACTTGCCAGGCAGTTGCTTTGCCACTGAGCTAAATCCCCAACTCCTGTGGCACCTTCTTTAGGCCCTCACCGTCTCTCCCCTGGACTGCTGCAGTCCTGTAGTCGTGTAACCGGGCTCCTTGCTCTGACTTTGCCCCCTCATGGCATTCCCCGGCCTGCAGAAGAATGTCCACGCTCTTCCACAGCCGGGAGGCCCCCTGCATCTCGGCCACACGTCCTCCACCTCACCTGCTGCTCGTGCTCCTGCCCACCTCACGGCGTGTTCGGCCTTCGGCTCCTCGGGGTCCGCTCTGCCACGTCTTTGCGCCTTTGCGGAGCCAGCCCCTCCGACTCCAGGGTCCCAGCACATTCGCACCTGTCTTCCCTGTTGAGGCTCAGCTTATGATTGCAGTGAATCGCTGTAATGAAACATTCACACATTTCTCACCTCGGAGCAGACCATGAGCTCCAAGAGGACAGTAATCTCAGTACTTAGCACCTGTCACGTGAGGATTGAACCCAGGACCATCTGATGAGCTACATCCCCATCCTTCTTTGTATTTTTTTTTTATTTTGAGATGGGATCTCACTAAGTTGTCAACTTTGCCCAGGCCGGGTTTGAGCTTGCAGTCCTGGTGCCATAGCCTCCCCGAGGGCTGGTATCACAGGGATGCCCTACCACACCCAGTGGCGCTGTGTTTTTTGATCAGAACTGAGAATACGAAAAGATCTCAGCAACTGAAAAGGCAGACCATAAAACTTAACAGGGAGATAAAGTTTAACGAGGATACACTTGGGCTTAACACCACTGAAGAAAACAAGTCTGGACCTCAGTAGTGAGTACGAGGTAGGACACAGGTGACTCCTCCCTGCAGTAGGATATATCAGAAAGCAGAGCTGTGCTTCCAGCTGACTTCATGCAGCATGTGAGTCAGCGGTGTGACCCATAACCTCGTGTCCAGGGCGGGAAAAGTTAATAGTCCTGCTGCCACACCATGCCGGGGTCACCATCCGGTCTATAGGCCATACTTTAACCCAGTTCTTGGGTAGAAAAAAGGGCAACTCGCCGCCTGCTGCTATGTAATTTTACATAAACATGCCCTTTGAGGTTAAAGCAAATCTCACTGGTACTTCAGTGTGAAAATAAAATATAAAAACTGTTTCTAGAAAGCTGGGTGTGGTTGTACTCACCTGTAATTGCAGCATTCAGGAGGCTGAGGCTGGAAGATTGCTAAGGAGTCCTCCTTAGCAACCCTGGGCTACGTAGTGAATGCAAGGCCAGCCTGAACTATAAAGCAAGACTCCAAAAAACCTCTCCTTCTGAAGTTTTTCTAAACAGAACTTGTCTCTAACCCTCTTAACATACATATACATGATGCTCAATACATAATAACTTTTCTCGTGTGGTAAATCGTTTTGTTTTGTTTTGTTTTTTTGTTTTTCTTCTGGTACCAGGAATCGGACTCATGACCTTGCGCTTGCCAGGCAGGCACTTTGCCGCTGAGCTAAATCCCCAGCCCCTCGTGTGGTAAATTGAAAAGCGTGGAATACTGGTAGAGAATTATAAATGGAAGTACCACTTCTAAAAAAAGAATATGATCAATGGAATGGTGTCTTTTGTTTCCAAAGACTATTGATCTTCTAGAGCCATGCCAAAATAGTCATAAAAGTGAGATATTTTGTGGAAAACTTTCGGGTAAGGTTAGGGCTGCAATCTGCACATGACAGGGTAAGCACTGCGGCTTCACGTGCCATCCGCAGGCACTGTATTCTCCAGGCAGGTGGGAAACAGACGAGGTGTGTCCAAAAGAACGCGGCTGGATGGTGAGAGAAGCTGAACCCGTCACCTGGGGGAGGAAGAGGAGGGTTCACCCGGTGCAGCCAGGGAGCACCGTCAGTGTGATCAGAGGGTCGTGGAGACCTCGCTGGCACCCTCAGAATGCACAGCTGGGCCCTGGAGTGGAAACTCCAGACAGTTTGGACGATTAGCCCTCTGAACAGCAGAGTAAGCTGTCTCATGAGCGCCAGGGTAGTGTGCTGTGGAGGGGTCTGAGCCCAGAGGAAGTTTGGGCTTCACTTCCGGTCCCCTTTGAGGCTTGGCGATTCAGGTAATGAGTCTGTACAGACTGAGTGCCAACGAGGGCCGCCAGGAGCACATTTTCTGACGGTAACTCCTTCATCCCTCTGATGGGGCTCTCTGTGAATTACCGACACAGGAATTGTTTCTGGGCCTAGAAAACCTTAGCGTGCTGGTCACTTACTGTCTGTCTGTTTGCAGTCTGCTTAGAGAGACAGCTGATGGCTCCACACAGTTGAATCCAGTGATTACTTCTTCCCTTGTGCTTTTTTGCTGTCTAGTTCTGGAGAGACTTGGCTTCTGGGAGGAAGTCAGAGGGATCGTCTCGGAATCAGAGCTGATAACAGGACTCCCCTGCACCTTTAAGGTGCCAGGCCTCCCCCAGTACCTCCAGAGCCTCACCAAACTAGCCATTGCTGCAGAGAGGGCAGTGCTGGCAAGCGCCAGCGAGCAGACAAGGGATGTGCCCGCCATCTGCTCGCAGCTGCTGGGCTCTTCCTTTCCTGAAGTGCGTCTGCTCACCCTGGAAGCCCTGTTGGAAAGGTTCACAGCAGGAGCCTCTGGATCACTGAGCAGCATGGGAGAGGACTTCCTGCTACTGGCCGTGAAGGAAAGCCACCCAGAGTGTCTCTGCAAGGTAAAGTCTGCCGGACTGACGGTCCCTTCCATTCGCAACATCAGGAAGGCAGAATCGGGTTTCGGCGCTCTGGGGGCAACAAACTGGGCATCTGAAGAATAAAGACACTCTTTGTATGGCTGGCCTGGCTGCAGGCATAAAAGGTCAAAGGCACTAAGAAGAGCTGTTAGCTGAGCATGATGGTGCACGCCTGTAATCCCACACTCGGAGGCCGAGGCAGGAGGATCGCTCCGAGCTGGAGGCCAGCCTGGGCTACAGAGTTCAAGGCCAGCCTGAACTGCAGAGCGAGACCCTGATGATGATGGCATTGATAGCAGAGATAAACCAAAATCAGAACTAGCCATTCTTGGGATGTGTAGGAAACAGATCACTGAACATCAGCCACAGAGTGTATCAGAGGTCGTCTTTTGGGTGTGCCTGTTTGGGGCAGAGGGTCACTTGGGACACGTAATCAAAAGGAAAGAGCCCTGGCCTAGGAACCTGAGCATCGAGCTCCAGTCAAAGGTCATTAGGTGCCTTCAGGTTGGTCATGCTGTGCCCTGCCTCCGTCTGTTAGGGGTACTGTGGGGAAATTAGAGGTCAGGGGGAGCCTTTCGAAAGACAGAGTGGCTGTGACTTACTCCTGGAGGCCTCTCCCCGAGTGTTCATGTATATGCTCTCTGTCTGTGTTTCTCACGCTTTCTCCCTCCCCACTTCTCTCTCACCCTCTCTGGATTTGTCTCACCCAGATACTGATGATTCTGCACTGCATGGACCCCAGCGAATGGCTTCCCCTCACGGAGCGCTGTATCCATATAACTCCCACGGAGTTTTGGATCTGGACGATGGACATTGCTTCCACTGACAGGTTTGCCCCCGGGCGCCCTGTGCAGCCTAGGTGGGATGGAGGTCCCGTCAGTCCCTGTGCAGTGAACCTGCTCGCCGTCCTGGCCGAGGAGCTCGGGTCGTGTGTTTCTTTCTAAGCCTCAGCCCAGGAGCTAGCTATGTCATAAACTCAAGCAATAGAATGATGTCAGACCTTCACATTAGAAACCGAAAGGTCATTGTTTCTGGAGGCATGAGTAGTCATGATGTGATTTCCAAAGCATCTCTGTATAAAGTATGTTTGATTTAATTTTGTGTGGGGGGTGTCTTAGTTACTTTTCTCATTGCTGAGAGAAAATACCCGACACTCAAAGTTCAGAGAGGAAAGGTTTATTTTGGCCCTCAGTTTGTAGAAGTTTCGGTCCATAATCAGCAAAGAGTTCGTGGCAGGCAGAGGGCAGCAAAAGCAGTGAGCGCAGTGGGGGCAGCCCTCTTTCGGTCCCTTCTATTCCGTCCAGGCTGCACACCCAGGGTGGGCCTTCCGTGATCCACACCCAGAGCTCTGCCAGACTAATCAGTGGACTAATTTAGTAATTGCGCACCCTTGACCCCAGCATCACACACTCTATATCCAGCCATCTCTCAGAAGCCCTACCTGTGACTGCAGAAGGCTTTGCGGGGACGTCTAAACACAAGCTGTAACGGGTTTTTTTTCCCCTTTTTTCCCCAGATCTGAAATCCAGGGTGTGGCTCTGAGACTCACCTCCAAACTGATTGCCTACCACATGAAAAGAGAGGAGGAGGTAAGGCTGATTCTGTACCTGTCCCGGGGAAGGCGTCAATAATAAGGTAGTAAGTAATAAGCTCACCTATACTGTGAGCTACTTGGGAGGCTGAGGCAGGAAGATCACAAATTCCAGACCAGCTTGGGCAATCTAAAGTTTAAAAAGAATGGAGGGTTAGGGATGTAGCTCAATGGTAGGGAAGCCTTGGGCTTGATGCTCAGTGCCACAAAAACAGAAAAGCCCACTGTCCTAAGCAAGCAAACCACTGTGACCTGTGTGTGTCGTGTGTATAAAAATAGCATTCAGGCATGAAGAACTGTGTCTGTAGTTCCAGCATTTGAGAGGCTGAGGCGGGAAGACTGCCACAAGCTCAAAGGCCAGCGTGACCTACATAGTGAGTTCAAGGCCAGTCTGAAGTACATAGTAAGACCCAGTCTCAAAAAACAAAATAAAAAAAGAATATCATTCATGTTGATTTTCCACTGTAGGACTATCTTGGGAAGACTTTTTGAATCATTTCCTCTCTTTTCTCTTGTTTTGGGCGTTTTTGGTTAGAGCCCATGAAGGTAACATGACCTCTCCTGACACGCAAAGCCATTGTTCTTTCCCTGTTTTTGTAGCTAGACTCTTTTTTTTTTTTTTGAAACGAGGTCTTGCTATATAGTCCAGACTGGCCTTGAACTCTCTCCCTTATGTAGCCCAGGCTGGCCTTGAACTCACAGTGATCCTCCAGCCTCAGCCTCCTGAGTACTGGGATTACAGGCGTGTGTCACCACACCTGGCTTAGCTAGACTCTTTTTAAAGAGGAATAAGCAAGTCAATCCTAGGAGTACTCAGGATTGTAACCTATCGAACTGAGTATGAAAATAAATGGCCCAGACTTAGGTATTCCCCAGGGCATGACCCACTTGGCTCTTGATGGCGTCCCAGGTGCTCCCACCTGTTCCCCTTCTTCTTCAGGGCAGAGTGAGCTAAAGTAAGCAGGTGGACTTGGGAAGGTGCTGTCTGGCAGATACAGACACTCTGAGATGCATACAAGAAGATGTGCTACCATTACAGAACAGTCAGTAGAAAGGGGCCAATACCGCAGTAAAATAACCTGTTCAAGGTTTTTCTGTTTTCATTTCTTTTTTTTCTTTTTTCTTTTTTCTTTTTTGTCTTTTTGAGACAGGGTCTCGCTATGCAGTTCAGGCTGGCCTTGAGCTCACTTTGTAGCCCAGGCTGTTCTCGAACTGGAGACGATCCTCCTGCCTCAGCCTCCTGAGTGCTGGGATTACAGGTGTGCGCCACCACGCCTGGCATTTCATTTCTGCTGTGTTTTGTTTGCTCATTCTTTGCGGTGGCTAGGATCGCACACATGCACACTGTGCCTGGCTGCACTGAAAGATCTCGATGATTGATTATTCGTTCCATCCTGTGAAGGTGCTAACATGACATGGGGGACTCACAGTCCTTACAATAAACCCACCACTGCGGTAGTTACCAGAGACAAACAGAGGATAGAAGTACAGTCCAAGGAGAGAGAGACTATCAGATCGTCCCATTGAATTCTCTACTGCAGCTGCGGGAGCTGAGGAGGAAGAAGTGTCTCAGAGCTGAGAAGAGTGTGTATGTGTGGTATTGGGGACTGAGTCCAGGTCCTTCACGCTGAGCCGCATCTCCATCTCCATCCCTTTTTATTTTTAGGGTCTTGCTAAATCCCTGAGTTGCTCAGGCTGGCCTTGAATTTGTAGTCCTCCTGCTTCAGTAAGACCTTAGTGGGACCATGTCCCAAAAATGAAAAATTTTTGGTGACATGTGGTAGTACCCGCCTATAATTCTAGCAGTCAGGAGGCTGAGGCAGGAGGGTCACCATGAATTCAAGGCCATCCTAGAACACATAGGGGCGCTCTGTCTCAAAAACACAAAACATAAAAAAAAAAAAACCTTTAAAAAGGAGTAGTAATGAAACTCAGTGTAATCCCCAGCATACACACAAAAAAAGACACTACTTAGTACTTGAATGAAGTCTTACTCAATGAAAATTGAAGGAGTTTGTGGGCAGAAAAATTGACAAAACTATAGAGAAACACATCCCAGAAGTTCCCAGGGAAAGCTGGGTCTCCTTGGGAGGTAGCATCTTTCCCAAGGTCTGTGTTGTTCATCAGCCGGGTTGCCGCAGGTGATAAGAGGAATCAGGAGGCACGTCCTGAAGAGGCTCATAGGTGGAGGAAAGGTCTTGGCCTATTGCTGTCTGCTGCCGTAGTAGAATACCTAAGACTGGGTAGTTGATTAAAAAAGAAACATATTTCACATGGTTCTGGAGGCTTGCAAAGACCAAAAGCACACACTAGTATCTGTGGAGGCCATCCTGCTGCCTTGGGGCATCACATAGCAGGAGAGCAGGGGACAAGGAAGGAGAGGCAGACCTGGAAGGAGAGAGAGCTGGCTCTGATGACAGAGCCACGCCCGCCATGAGTAACTGCTCTGGAGGTCATGGCGCTGAGCCATTCAAGTCATGAGCACTCCGCCCTCGTGACCTAATCACCTCTCAAAAGTCCCCTGACCCGTACAGCATTGTCACAGCAGCAGTTAAATTCCAGCATGACTTCACACGATAAGAGGACATAAAGTACATCTCAAATAAGAAGTCCCTTTTCTAGAAAAAGTCAAAAAAATGCTGTAGAAGATGGAAATAATCCAAGTATAAATCAATTTAGGGTGGAATATTACTTAGCCGTAAAATGTTATGCGGTCCCGACTCATCCTACAGTATGGATGAACCTTGAAAACCTCCTAAGTTAAAGAAGCCAGTCACAAGAGAGCACATAGCGTGCGATCCCACTCACATAGCATGTCCAAGCGAGGCAGTCGTAGGGGTGGGGAGGGGACTGGTGGTTATTTGGGGCTGAGGGCGTGGGAAAATGGAGAAGGGGTAGCTAAGTGGGTTAGGGTTTCTGTTTATGTGGATGAAAACATTCTAACATTATCTGTCAGAGATGCCGGTAACGTGAATGCTACTTAACATGCCCTTACATTGAAACAATGCATGTGCCCCATAAACGTGAACAGTTTTCACGTATCAGTTAAAAAAATTTTTAAATGTTTTTAAAAAGCAAAGTGGGCCCGGGGATATAGCCTAGAGGTAGAGAGCCTGCCTAGCATGTGTAAGGCCCTAGGTTTGATTCACAGCACTTTTAGGAAAAACAAGTAAATTATTTCCAAAAGCATGTGAATAAAAATCATCTAAAACAAAGCGAGCTTAAAAAATAAATAAAAAGCAAGACATAAAAGAATTATTATAATAATAATAAATTTGTGGTGACAGTTGCATAGACCAAAATCCAGTTACTTTTCACTTTAAGTGGGTGAATTGTGTGGTATGCGAATGACGTTTCAATAAAACTGTTACTGTTAAAACAAAACAGGGGTGTTCCAACCTTGTTAGGATGCTGCTTTCAAATGTGGAACAAACTCCTGCATTCTGGGGCTGGAACCGGAGAGACGGAAGCTGTCCAGCACAGATACCGTGGCTTGGCAGTGTTGGCCCAGGCCTTCTCACCCGCGGTCCTGCAGTCTTGGACATGTGACCTCCGCCTCGCGATCTCAGGGTTAGCTCCAGCCGCCACCATGAGTTTGCCCTGTTCAGCGAGCGTGAGAGGGAACCCAGGAGCAGAAATCTTGGGTGTTTCCTAGGCACATCTCAGTGACAACCCAGGCGAACGCACTCACACGTTGCTCCCCCATGTGAGGGAGGCTGGGGAATGTAGTCCTCAGCTAGGTGTCCACAGACCCTGCCAAAAATCTGGGGTTCTATTACCAAAGGTACCAAAAATATCTGGTGATTGTGGACAAAGTATCTGCTGCCACAGTCTTCCCCACAAATTCAGCCTTTACTGAAGCTGTCAAATACAAGGTGTGTAGTAATACATGGTGAATGTTTACATTTTAAAAATTTATTACGGACCATCAGTCCCATCTCAGAATCCTCCCCCCTTACTTTGAACATCCTTAGCCCATCGTTCCTGCCACTTTCTGAAGCAGTTCTTTGTTTTTTGTTTTTTTGTTTTGTTTGGTTTTTTTGAGACAAAGTCTCACTATGCAGTTTAGGCTGGCCTTGAGCTCACTTTGTAGCCCAGGCTGGTCTCGAACTCGCAGCGATCCTCCTGCCTCAGCCTCCTGCGTGCTGGGATCACAGGTGTGCCCCACCATGCCTGGCTCTGAAGCAGTTCTTGAAGTCTGCTTTTGGGAGTGTCTTTACAAGGTGTGATCAGAAGCGCAGTGAAGGCTGCTGCCAGGTGCCATCCAGCAGAAAGGCAGGCTTGCCAAAATGCTATCTTGCGTCCTCAGCCACTTGTTCACCAGACCGGGCACTGGGTGACCTCTGACCTTCCCCAAGGTTAACGTGACATGAAAGGGAAAGCTCTGAATCTATTCAAGACATCAAGACAGCCATGACAGCACCACCACAGACACTCAGGAAAGACGACTTCTAGAACTGCCTCAAAAAGTGACGAGAACAACGGGATGAGTATGCTCAAAGTAAAAGCGAGTATTTTGAAGGGGTTAAAAACAATGTGTCTTTAAACTTTTTTGAAAAACATTCACCAGATTTTTTCTTTTTGTTTTTTGTTTTGTTTTTGGTTTTTGGTTTTTTGGTCTTTTTGAGACAGGGTCTCGCTATGCAGTTCAGGCTGGCCCTGAGCTCACTTTGTAGCCCAGGCTGGCCTCGAACTCACAACGATCCTCCTGCCCCAGCCTCCCAAGTTCTGGGATTACAGGTGTGCGCCACCATGCCCAGCCCCCAGATTTTTCAGTCATGCCCATACATGTTGTGATGTTGTGTGTTGTGATAACATGAGATGCACAGAAAAGACACAAGGAAGTTGCTCATTAGTAACTCTGTATTTCCAAAAAGAAAAAGATTCTCCTCATGGGACTTGTTTATTTCACCTAGTTGGGATAGAAAAGCAACTAAAAACCTTCCCACCAAGGTGGAGCTGATTTGCAGTGCAGTTTGGGGTACCTCCTCCCCTCTCTGTCAGCCCCCGGGTGCATCTCCGGTCTATTGATAGGTACCTCTGTGCTTTCAGAGCAGGGACTCGCTAGCCCCCCAGCTGAAGCGGTGGGTGCAGCTGGTCGTCTTGTCCTGTGGAGACCGTCTTCCCACCGAGTCTAGGCTGGCAGCTGCTGAGGTCCTCACCAGCACTGCACCACTGGTCCTCACCAGCCCCTGTCCAGTTCTTGGTAAGTGTGGTTCGGCAGAGCCCCTTGTACCAAACCTGCGAACAGCGTGCATCGGTACTCCAGACCAGTGGTGGTGAACCGCCGGCACACCTGCTGCGGCAGGGTGTTTCCTTATGATTGAAAGCTCCAGGAGGTTCGCCATCATTGCTCTAGACTAAATGAGAAGGAAAGGAGACAGCTGGTAGCATGCCCCATGCCTTTTCATCTTTCCAGTAGAGTCCTGCCTTCCTTCGGACCCTTGTTTTTCACTGTTAGCCTCTTGCAGTCTTACCCAGATAGCCTCTGTGCCCTTTCTGAAATGTAACTATCATCACTTCCGCACATGTGAGAGCCTTGGAGGAGATTCCTTTTGCCTTCTGGATGGAGTCCAAACTCCCTTTCCCTCTGCTTCTGGCCCTTCCTGGTTCCTCCTGGCCACCCTCCCACATTATCACCCACCACTCCCAGCACCGACTGATGTGTCATCGGTAGGGAACAGTTCTCTGTAAACAAACCACTGCTTCACTAACTTCTATTTGTCTTACAAGGCTCAGCCCATCCGTCCCCTCTTCCAGGAAGCCTGTTGCATTAATCTAGGTGAGAAATAAATGGGTCAGTGTGGAGCTGTGGTAATGAGGAAGAATGCCCTCTCCCGCCACGTTCAGTCCCATACTGTGGGACACTGGTTCTTTTCCCATCTGCTAGTGGACTTCTGTTTCTTCTTTCCCGCTTCCATGCACGCCCTCAAAAAGAAGACATGGTCCCTGGTGCCAAAGAACGTTCAATAGAGTTATGGAGGAAGATTCCTATAATAAAAGAAAGGATTATTTTTTATATGGTGAGATCCAAATTGTAGGTGTTACAGGAGTTGAGACGTTTGAAGTATCTTAGGTCCCTGGATCTCTCTGGGAAACTTTCTCTTTCCTATTCTTTCACGTATTTCTTCTTTGTGACATCCACCCAAATAGGGATTGAGAGGGAACTTCCTTGTGCTGTGATCTAATGTTGGACCTAGGGGAATGGGAGCAAAAGCTTACAGACTTGGCCAAGCCCGGTGCAGTGGCACATGCCTATAGTCCCAGCTCTTGGGAGGTGGAGGCGGGAGGACCAGTTGAGATTAGGAATTGAAGACCAGCTTGGGAAACATAGCAAGACCTGGTCTCCAAACACCAAAAAAGTTCTTGGTCGGTCAGCCTTCTCCAGTAAGGCCATTGTGCAGCATTTTGTGGGTGAGTTTGGCCTCTCTAACTGAAGCTCACAACAGGAGAAATGTGCACAGAGCAACATGGAATTCCCATGTGGAAATGAAAACCCGTTGATTCATAATTAATTGCTGGTGCTGGCTGCAGCTTCATAGAAATGATGAAGTCAGTTGTGGTGCACACCCACAATCCCAGCGCTCGGAGGGTGAGGCAGGGGATCATAAGTTTAAATCCAGCCTGAGCTATTTAGCAACTTAGTGAGACCCTATCTCAAAATAAAAAATAAAAGAGCTAAGACTGTAGCTCACTGCACTCCCGGCTACCGGGGGAGCGTCATGATGGAGGAGATCAGCTGTGGCTGACGGTACACGAGAACATGAAACACAGAGTGACAGAGGACGTCAGAGCAGGTCGGGACAGGATGAAATGTCCAAAGGGGGAGGGTTTGAGAGGTGGAAGTGACCATGTCACAAAGGAAAATGTTGGGAGCAAAGACAACCCTAAAGAGCAGTTAAAAACGATGGGTTCTCTCACTGAGTACAACTTAAAGGCAAATCTGGAGCAGAAGGGAGAGAACAAAACCCCAAATGGAGCCTTCGCTGTTCCTGGCTTGAGTGAAGCACCCGTGGCTGAGAGCAGAGGAGAGTGGCCGAAAGAGCTGGAGTGGGTAGGGATGCTGGGTGCTGGCCTGGTGGTTCCCTGCCGCGGCCCGCGCAGGAGCCTCCGCAAGCCTGAGCCACCCTGCCATGTGGCAGGAGCGCTGCCTGTGACGCCCGCCCCCTCTCTTCCCGCGTGACATCCACCCCAGGTGCAGCAGCCCCTTGTCCCCCATCCCCTTAGTGACTACTATGGAGTCTGTCAGACTGTGCGTCCCTGTCTGTTACACAGGGGCAGGTGCTGCCTTTCCTGTTCGTCACCTGCAGCAGCATTGGGCACCGGCCAGTAGCAGGGCCAGTGCCCATGGGTAACTGCACCAGATAGAGGACCCCTGTGTGCATGTGACACAGGCTGGTGCCTTGTTCCTGGGCCCTTCCCCTTCTCGGAAGCGTAGTCTTGACTAACGCTTGGCTTTCAGAACCGAGATGCTAACACTGTCGCTGCAGCCCACACTGGGTCAGTTTACAAGTTTCATGCTTGGGAATCACGACACCAGGCTAGCTGGGCCCAGGACCTTTGTCAGCCAGTGCCCAGGTAGCGGAGTGGCTGGGCCCACCCAATGGAGCTCACCCTGGACTCAAAGCAGGGTCTGTACCTGCTCGTCAGCTGCACTCTGGGTAATTTGAATTCCTTCTGGTCTTCTCAGAGTTTGTCTTTTTTTTTTTTTTTTTTTTTT